CGTCTTCTTCTTCTTCTTCTTCTTCTTCTTCTTCTTCTTCTTCTTCTTTTCTTTTTTTTTCTTTTTTTTTTGCGCATCTGCGATCAGCGCACCGCGCAGCGCACTTCATCTATGCGCCGCAAGTATGGTACACATCCTTCGTAGAGGGCCCAAATTGATGACCAACGATTGGGTGGCTATCAGAGACCAGCCCCATTTTATTGGCAACATCCTTGATCAGTTTCAGAATGGTGATATTCTCTTGCTGGTTTTTGCCTTAATACAAGATAATACTGGTCTTCCTGATGGTTAGGGGGAAACTCGGTAGGTGCAAGCGGACCAGGTTTTCAGAATAAGAGTGCTAAGGAGAACAGAGTCCTGGCTAGCCTTTAAACCGGATACCCCTATTTGCAAATTGGCGCTAGATCCAGCCAATTGGACATACAATTCCACGAGGTAAACATAATAGAACGTATAAATGGGCAACCCATCGAATGCTGCACCCAAGAATCAATATGAAAGACATAGTGACAGCTAGATGAATGAAGCATCTCAATATTCACATAGAAGAGTTGAGGCTAATTAAGTGGGTTAATTAACTTTAATATAATTAAGGTTAAACCGGCAAAGGTGGCTTCACTACAATGGCAAATCGAACACCGGTGCCTGCCCACGAATGATTGGCTAATAGATAGATCTTCTCTGGAATGGAAAGTAATTGCTTCACGATGCTGTAAATTTTGCTTCACTATTGAACATGTGTTCATGCAATGTCCGGGGTTTATCTGGCTATGGAGATGGTGGGATCATATCTGGGCTCAGTTAGGACCCAAAATCCCATGGCCATGGGGTTGGAAGACTATACTTCGAGAAGCATAGATCCCTGATCCGTTTGAGGAATTCGCACAGAATCTCTTTAGTATTCGAAGGAGGGCAGTTATGTGACTCACCTGGATGAGGAGATGTACCTATGAATGGGAAGGGGCCAGACTGGACGGATCAGAATTCACTGATACAATAAAACAACAAATCCAAACAGAGCTTCTAACCAAATGGGAACATACAAAAGAGATACTACAATGTCTATCTCCAAGAATTGTAATTCTTAATCACATTCAAAAGTTGCAGCTGGCTTAGAGGAGACCAGAGGGGAAATTGGTAAAAGTAAAGTGGGATGGGGCAATGGGAGGGGAGGATGAAGATTTACACAGGGATTATAGGTTGGTATTTGGAGATTGGGCAGTTGTGGACTCATCTTTGTCCCTACACCCTCTGTCAGAATTCCCTAATAACTTCCCCCAGCTGCAACAGCGTTGGTTCCCAGATCCTGGTTTGGTTATGAGTAATTGATTTTTAATAGTTGTGAAGTAAGCATCCATGAATGGTAGGCAGATTAGGAGAATCAGAGCTAGGAGTGGATGTCAGTGCTGGTGCCCTAAGAAGGGTGAAGAGAGAATGATTCTCCCACAAATTCCCTCATTCTTCAGTACTCTTGAAATCATTGTTATTGAGGGACGCTGGACCCAGTTTCCAGCAGGTGCAGCTTCCCACCAATAGATGCAGTGACTTTATAGGACTCTACTAGGGGGGGATCCTCGTACCACTCACCCTAGTAGAGTTCACAGAAGGGAAAAAAAAGAAAGAAAAAGTGTATCCCCTGCCTACGCGTCCTTTGTCATTCCAGTTCCCAATCATCCCAGAACCTGCCTCAAGATACTTCTTCTTACATCTACGAAGGATATGGGACTCGTCAACACATTCTACAACCTTGAAACCCGGATTGCATAAAAATAGTGAGTCAATGCCTGCTTTATAGAAAACCGGACAACGGAACAGGGTATCCCCGGGGTTGTGATCGGCTGGGGACAGTACTAAACCATGCTCAATCTTGCGCCATAGTTGCATGTTCTCAGGTGAGAAGGATAGGTCATGAAGCACCTGCAGAGATGGGGGGAGAGAAGGAGGAGAAAAAAGAGGAGGGGGAGGGGGAGAGGAGGGGGAGGAGGGGGAGGAGGAGGAGGAGGAGGAGGAGGAGGTGGAGATGCTACAACCAGGACGGAGGGGGAAGGGGGAGTGGTACACGAGGGGCGAGAGAGGAGGGGTGAGGAAGATGAAGAAACAGCAGAGGGGACGAGTGCGGTGGTAGCCACAGGAGTATCCGTCGAGGCAGAGCCGGAAGTGGTTTGGAGGAGACTGAAGACAGCATCTTCAAGTTAGGGAGCACGCCAGGCATCTGAGGAAGGAGATAGCGACACTTATGCCTAACTGGCGGGCGGAAGAGTCTGTAAGCTGGGTGCCACCATAGTATCAGGCAAAGCAGTCTCCCATTTAGAAGGAGGGCGGATAGCAGAATCATGGGATACCTTTGGTCAGGGACGCTGCAACCGGTTTCCAGTAAAAGTATCAGACAAATCTATCAGGGATGCTGGACCCAGTTTCCAGCAGGTGATGCTCCCCACCTATGGATCGGAGCAAACAGGAGGACTGGCCGGAGATGCTCATATCACTCCCTCCAGTACGCCATGCTGGTTTTCATTCGTTAGGGGGGGGGGAGGAGGAAATAAAATAAAAAAATGTACGGACTGCAGGTTTTGAGTTCGCAAAGGCAAAAAAAACACGAAAAAAACAGCCGCTGAGTTTGAAAATGCAATTTCGGTAGAAAGGTTCCGTTGGGCTTTTTTTTCTTTTTTCCCGCCTGACATCAAGGGCGACCTCTGTAGTTATGACACCCGGCCTGACACCACGGCCGCAGTACTTTCATTGCATTTTTGAACTCGGCGGCTGTTTTATTTGCAGGCGTGTATTTTTTTTTGCGCGTTAGAAACTCAAAGGTGACATCAACGTAGTTGCCCCCCCCCCCCCCCCAAATAAAGGAAAAGGAAGGCCCGGTACCCACAGGTGAGGTAGGTGGCCAAGTAGCCTCATGTGACCCGCGTCTGATGCAGTGAGGACCACCAAAATGCCGCTGCTGGAAGGGTCTAGTACCACTACCCAAGCCCCAGTACCTTGGGTGCTGACTATCCGCCAGAGAAAGCAGGTGTGAATCCTGCTACTTGCAGTACCAACAGGTATGCCCATTTTCAGACAATTTTACAGCATGTCCCTGAACCTTGGCATTGGTGCAAATTTTGAAAAAGACAAAAGTAGCAGGTTTGCAGAAAACACATCCAGATGAATATACTGGCGGCAGGCATCACCATTACCAGAGAATCCCACTCTAATTGGGGCTGCATGGTCATGACTCGGTCTCATCTGGGGCCAAGTCCCACTAGAATGGGTTTGGCTTTGATTCCTAGACCAGTGTGGAAGGGTGTGGCGGGGTGCGGTGGTGTGCGACTGACATTATTGCAAAGTTTTTTTACCGAAATTTCTCTATGACGTGCATTAGGACGAGTTCAACATCTTTAATGTATTAGGTCCAGAATGAGTCCAAATGCATGTAGTGTTGGTCGTATGTGTGCCAGGCCCCATGCTTGCCAAACTCTTGTCACCGAGCATCACACGCTGTCCACTACACAGTCATCGGAGTACGGCCTTAGACTGACACAACTGCCGCACACTGACACAACTGGACGCCTTTTTTTTATTTTTTTCAGGCCCTTACCGATTTCCGAACCGGTTTTCATTCCTGACCCATCAACAGACCCGTCAGAAATGAAAACCCCTCCATTGATGAACACACTACCCTGCTAGCATGGACAGCCAATGACAGCCCGATACATATCGATCACGGAACTCTCCCCGCTACGATAAAAGCACCTATCTACAGCTCGCAGGCGTGTCACGCAGAAGAAAGGTCCTCATTCTTGTTCTATTCCTACCGGCAGTGGGACTTGGCCCCTGGTGTGCTCCATGGTACTGATCAGGTACCACCTGTGGTGCATACAACATAGCTTGGCCTGGAATCTCTCTCAGTGATGGCAAAGAGAACTGTTCGTGGGCGATTATCTCCCTGCCGCACAACAGCTGATATACTTGTGGACCAGTTACTGTACAGAGTAACAGTGTTGCTCAGCACGAGGGCATGTAGCAAAGGATGTTACCTGCTCCACCAAAATTTCTTGAGATGTTTTGGCGAAGACAGCCAGGCTTCTTGGGGCTATCCATCCCTTGTACAGGATGCAGACCTTCTTTGTGCCTGAGATCCAGCGTGGCAGAGCTTCAAATGTCGAACAGACATGAGAGACATAACAAGACCCAACTACTACCTCGAAGACCGTGAGGCTCGTTCTTGAACTGCCGGTCTTGCACAGCCCGAGCTTGGAGGAGTATATATGCCTGCAAGGCTTGGCAAAACAGCAATGACCTCACCAGTTCACCAAGGATTGGCAGCCTAACGCAGTTAGCGTTTGCCTTCTGCACTGCTGCAATAAGTAGACATCCGCCGCAGCCGCAGCCGCTGAAACCAGAACTAGGCTGACGAGAGGATCTCCTTCTCTTTACGGCGCGTTTCCTACCGAGCAAGGTCTAGAAGCCATCAGAAGCCAGCATCTAGTCTTCAGATTCCATGGCGGTCGTCAGGAGGGAAGCCACTGGTCAGGCCAGAGTGGCAGGATCAGCTGTAGGATGTCTCGGAATAATTCTGCTTGGTTTTATCGTCCAATCCTTTGCGGTCCCTGCAGGTGAGAGCAACTCCCTCTCAAAGGCGACTACAGTTGCTCAGAATGCAGAACAAGAGACTGACATCGTTAACAGGCATCTCGGGGATAACAAATATGGCGACGACAACTACGTCAAAGGGAACTACAAGGATGACGACAAGTACTACAGTCAGGAGAAGTACTACAGCAAGAAAGATGACGGCGTGTACCCGAAGAAGTATGGTGGGAAGAAGAATTATGAAAAAACGTACGAAAAGAAACATGCCGGCAAGGAGTATGATGATGAGAAAGAGTATGACAACGAGGGAAAAAAGGATGATAAGTACCATAACTTCGGCATGAAGTACAGTGATAAGAAGAATTATGATAAGTACTTTAAGTATGATAAGTACTTCGAGTATGATAAGTATGATAAGTATGATGAGGATGATGAGGATGAAAAGGATGATAAGGAGGATAGTGATGATAAGGATCATGTAAAGTATGATAAGTATGATAAGTATGATAAGTATGGTAAGTATGGTAAGTATGGTAAGTATTATAAGTATGATAAGTATGATAAGTATGGCAAGTTTGATACAAAGCATGATAAGTATGATAAGTACGATAAGTATGATAAATATGATAAGTATGATAAGTATGACAAGTATGATAAGTATGGCAAGTATGATAAGAAGGATGATAAGTATGACAAGTATGATAAGAAGGATGAGAAGAATGACAAGTATGAGAAGAAGGATGAGAAGTATGACAAGTATGAGAAGAAGGATGAGAAGAGGGATGAGAAGTATAATAAGTATGATCACTATTAGAAGAAAGACGGCAAGTAAGTATGGCAAGAATGATGAGAGGAATGGTTATTATTACAAGAACTACCACGAGAAGTGCGATTGAAGAAGAAGTAGGTCAATAAGGAAGTTCAATAAGTCCTGATCATGCCATATAATCTACAAACTTCCATAATAATCTCGAATTACGTGGGGCTGGTCACCTGTGGATATCTCTAGAGTCTAGACTGCCACCCTTTTTCTTTTTCTTTTTCTTAGAAGGGGCATGATGAGCAGCAGCGGAACAGCGAGCAGGACAATCAAAAGAAGTATGTGGCAACAAGAGCTATGACAAGAAGTACAAGCACAGGAATTGTGATGATTAAGAGTGTGAGGGTAAGAAATTGGAAGTGCAACAAGAAGAGCAACAAAATACATACGGCAAAAAAAAGTCTGATTGCACGAACACATCGAGCAAGGCTTTACTTCAACTTGTACAAGAGATGGAGTGGCCATGACATTCAGGATGATCACCAAGCTTTGACCAGCCTTTCTGCGGAGTGAAACAGGGATCATCAGCAAAGTCGGCACAAATAAAGTGGATTAAAAAGAAGAATAGGAGTTTGATTTGCTCATTCCTTTTGGTGCAGGGACAGCAGGAAAGGGTAATTTTGAATAACCGTTCAAAGCGAGTAGACATTTCAGGAAAATGGATTTGGTTCTGCTTCATGTATTCTGACATTTACCAATGAATGTGGGTGATTTCTGCATACCCGTGGAACTGAATTACTGCAGTGAAAGTTTCGCCATTGGATGTGTTTGGTGATGCTGTTCTTCTTGGCAGCAAGTTGACTATAAGACTTTATGACAGGGTTTATCTGAGTAGAGTTCACAAGGAGACAATAGTCAAATTAGACAATAGTCAAATTATGTCACAAACCAGATTTTGAATTGTGTCTTTTGCTGTTAGACCACCAGGACCCCACCAAGCTACCTGTGGGGGCCTACGTTCATGCCCACGTTTGGGTGTGACTGTGGGAAATATTCCTCAATGCACTTGAATTCTTCTCAATAATGCATAATTGGCTACTTTGGCAACCGCGGCACTGGGCTCGTGAACTTTGCAACATTTATGCTTTGTTTCTTGAGTTATTGTCCTCTTTTTTTTTTTTTTAAACTTCGTATTAGGGAAACCGACTTAGCGAGGTGATAAGAGCATCCCCGGTAAGAAGGCACCCGCCGTCGAAGGCTCCATCTATTGGTGGGGAGCTGCACCTGCTGGAAATCGGGTCCAACGTCCCTATACAATGATGTGATGTGTGTGTGTGAGCTGGAAATCGGGTCCAGCGTCCCAGTGCAATG